TGGCAAAAACTGTACCGAACTGAACCGATTGAAGCCCTATTTTTTTAGATATACAAAAGTCTATTAATTTTTAATAGATTTAATAATTTTTTTTTATTTGAAAGCTAATCAATTGTAATTTTTAAAAATGTAATTAAAAATGTTATTTAACATTCTAAAACCTATCTATGTAAATAAATATACAAAATAATTCTAAAAAAGCTATCATAATTAACAATTAAACAATTTTTTCCATACTATAAAATATTCTTTTTTTATTTAAAATTTAAAATTTACAATAGACTAGCTTTTAAATAGAATGATTTCATCAGAAATTTATAACTTTCATGCAATATGAAAATTACCAAGCATTTTTAAAGAAATTTGGTAATTTATTGTAATTTTATATAATACTTCCAGTACTATTCAAGAAAGTTCATTTAGATTGAATAGGACTCCGCTTATTTATAAGATAAGTCACCCCAGGCCTAAGATAAAATTCATATATAAAATTCTTTGCAAATCCTACTATAAAAGGAAATTTTATGTTACTTGTTATGATTTTTTTCCTTTTTAGCTAATTAACCAATAGAATTTAAGAAAAAAGTAAGGTAAAAACTATTAGTAAAGGGCCAATTTTCTACGATGACCTTTATTATAAGTAAACGGGATCCTGATTGAGTAGTATCTAGAGGAATACTATAAAAAAAGAAGAGTATTATTAAAAGAAGTTATATTAAAAAAAGGCCAAGGTATATTTGATTTTATTACAATTAAATAAATCAATACATTAATTTTGATTAATTTTAAATTAGAATATGATTAGTATTTAGAATACTATTCAAAATTGAATTTTGATTACCATATATCATGGGCCATACTGTATACATGCTGTCCAAATTATTTTGGGATGCCATAATTATAATTTGGGATGCCATAATTCATTCGGTTTATATATAATTTACTATGTAAAGTGCCAAAATAATTTGGGATGCCCGATGCCATAATTGAATTTGGGATTTTACTTATAATTACGGCAGTCCAAAATAATTTGGGTGGCATGTATAGACCATAGTACCCCCTATGTATAGTACTCCTATTAAAAAATTTTATAGAATTGTATAATATTTGGAGAAATATTTTACAATTATCTCATGATCTAGTAATCAGATTTGAGCTATCTTTTTTTTTGTTTGATAGCTCTCATTGAGCTCTTCAAAATAAAAAAATGATCACTCATATTGGACTAGTAGATCTTGAAATATTCACAAAAAATGGAATTTTTAAGTTTTATTTAGTACCTGGGGTATAGGATCAAATCCCTGATTTTGCACTTAAGATACCAGGATACTGTGGCCTGCTATATATGGTAGTACTGGAATATTTTTCAAAAATACCCGAATGTAAATTTGAATAATACTAGAATTCCAAACAGATTGACCAAATTCAGGTAACCTGACAGGTTGACCTGAATTTATCAGGTTAGGTTTAGCAATTGCAATTCAGCATCAGTTCAGGTTGTAACATCAATATAACCTGAATGACCTGTTGACCTGAAACTATGATTTTATATAATATATGTGATGGTATTATAATTCACTTTTTATATTGATTTATATAATAAAAGTGAGTTGCGATATTAGGATTCACTTTTTATATTGATTTTATATAATAAAAGTGAGTTGCGATATTGGGATTCACTTTTTTATATTGATTTTATATATAAAAAGTGAATTGCGGTATCGGAATTCACTTTTTTATATTGATTTTATATATAAAAAGTGAATTGCGGTATCGGAATTCACTTTTTTATATTGATTTTATATATAAAAAGTGAATTGCGATATCGGAATTCACTTTTTTATATTGATTTTATATAAAAAAAGTTAGTTGCGATATTGCGATTCACCTTTTTATACGATTTTAATATAAAAAAGTGAATCGCAATATTTTCAAAAAAAATGGTTTGCACCATTTTTTTTGATATATTAATAAAAATCCTGAAAATTTTCAGGTTTCAGTTCAGGTCAGGTCAAACAGATAACCTGATATAGCCTGACCTGACCTGACCTGAAAAAAAATTTTAGGTCAGGTTTATCAATTAACCTGACCTAACCTGACCTATTCAGAACTCTAAATAATACTTCGGTACTATTTGAAGAAAATACTATTACAAGGGGATACTATATACAGTAATAAGAATTAAAAATAAAAATAACTAACAAAATAAATATAATATTAAAATAAATTAAATAAAATAATTATATTTTTTGATGATTGCATCTTTCTGGATGGATATAGCTCATGATAATTTGTTTGTATGATATATAAACTTAATATAATAAAGCATATATAAATCATAAAAAAAAAATAAAATAAAATAAAATAAAATAATTATAACAGATAAAATAAATAAATTAAATAAATCAAAATAAATCAAAGTTAAAATAGCAATACATTAAACTTTATTTATAATTTCAAAAATAATACAAGTAAAAGGAAAATAATTTATAAAATAAAATACTAATCTAAAATCTATATCTAAAAACCTTTATATAGTTTAATCTAAAAGTAAGTTCTAGGTCAACTAGTATTGCAGTATAGTGACCAAATGTTCTTATAGATATAATATTGAAAATGGAATAAGCTACAGTAAAATAAATAATATTTAAAGATATCTTAATTGAAAAGAAGATAAAAAAAATATTGATCAAATTTTTAGAGATAAAGCCATAAATAAGATTGAAAATATTGGGAATAAGTAGAAGCAGGAAGCTATAAATTAAAAAGATTTCAAATGGAAAATAGGTTGAATAAGTCCAGTAAATGCAGCTTGAAATAATCACATTTGCAAACTTTTTCAAGTTTTTTTTAAAGATTCATCTTAAAGATCTCTAAGTACAAGAGAAATTTAAACTTTGCAGGAGAAGTTGAAAAATCTACTATATAAGAAGTCATAAATGGAAAGACATTTCTGGTGTAATTGCAGAAAGGGTAGATAGAGTTTATATTGTATAAATCTAGAATATGATACTTATATAAGTATAAGATCAAAAGTGCATCAAAAAGCAGTTTAAATTAAAAATTGACTAAATTATAGTTTTTAAAATAATTAGCTGTACCATAATATAGGAAGAAATGGAAAAATTCCTAAATAACAGATCATAAGTAAAATAAAATGAAATGTTTAAATCATGCAAAACATAATTTTTGAAAGTAAATTTATTTATAATTAAAGCTTCAAATGGGTCAGTTTGATCCAGATTATAAACGGTTCAGATTAGAGCCAAAATCCATAAGAATTGAACTGAAAAACTGATAGTTCAGTTTGGTTTAATCTGATTTTTATAAAAATGCAAAAATTTCATCTAGTAATCATATAAAATTGAGCCATATATTGTTAGATTTCTCTTGACAAGATGTATTAAATAGTGGTAAAATTACATTTTTAGCATTAATAGATTACAAGTTAACTCACATTAAATTATTTATAAAAAATAAGCTATCTATCAATGCTAGAGACATGATCTTAACACCATTTAATGCGTTTCAGTGAAACGAATTCAATGAATATTAATTCATCTATATACTATTACTGGATGGCGAATAATATAAAGTTTGCATTTTTTTAAAAATTTTGAGTATTAAAAATTAAAATTTTGATACATGCATTTACTTGCCATTTAATAGTTATACAAATATAAATTAGGAATCATTGGATTTGTCTCATTAAGACAAGTCAAATGGTGTTTCTAGCATTGATAGATTATAAGTTAACTCATGCTATATGATTTATAAAAAATTGGCATTAGCAAGCTAGAATCTATCTATGCTAGAGATGTGATCTTACCACCATTTGACTTGTCTTAATAAGTTAAATCCAATGAGTCCTAATTTATATTTATATAACCATTGGATAATGAATAAATTCATGTATCAGAATTTTAATTTTTAATGCTCAAAAATCTTAAAAAATGCAAAACTTTACATTATTTGCCATCCAGTAATCATATATGAATGAATTAATACATTGGATTCATTTCACTGAGATGCATCAAATGGTGCTAAGATCATGTCTCTATCTAGTATTAATAAATAACTTTCTAATGCTAATTTTTTATTAATCACTTAGTGTAAGTTAACTTGTGATCCATTGATTTTAGAGACATGATCATACCACCATTTGATACATCTCTGTTGAGAGGAATCCAATGATATATAGCTTAACTTTGTATGATCACTTAATCACCAGTTATTCAATTTTTCACTTTTTATAAAAAATTGGATTAAACTGAACTGAACTACCAGTTTTTTGCTTCTAATACCTGAACAAAACTGAACTGAATTTTGAGCCAGTTTCAGATTGGTTTTTCAGTTTAGCCTGAACTGTTTAGAGCTTTATTCATAATGCATAATTATAAATTTCAATGTTCAATTGATAAAATTACAGACCTTTATGTTATTAAGATTCAAGATGCTCCATGTAAAAAAACAATCAAAAGTGCCAAAGAGATATCAAGCAGGCATGAAATTATATATATATATTGGTATAATTAGTATACATAAAAATAATGTAACGAACATAGGGTTTTAATACATGAAAAAAATGTAGCAAACATAGGGTTTTATCAATTTAAATTCAGTTTCATTCATTTATAATAAAATTTCAAAAAAAAAGGTTCTACACATGTTTAATAAGATAATTGTATTTATTGTAAATTTTTATAATACTAAAATTACAGAATTTTTCGACATATCACGTGATGCGGTGAATTTTACCGCCGGTTGGCATTAAAATCGCCCTAATTTAATATCAAAATTAGTATCATTATTATTAATTTATTCAGATAAAAGAGGTATTTCAACAGTTACTTCAATTGTAAAAGCATATTTAAGTTAGCATATTAAATTCTGATTTCCATTTTCTCCATTACTTCCATAAACTGATATTTTTTCACCAACTAGATTCTGCATGTGAAAAGGTAGAGTAATGAACTTTTTTTATTATTCCCATGTCATACTGTATACATGCACACACTGATTAAAAGCAAACATTATTATTTGTACTTTATTAATGAAATAAGGATATTCCGACATAAGCAGTAGATTTACATAAATTTCTCCTTGTGAAATAGAAAAATGAAGATAAAATAAACAATAAGCTTGAACTTATCACTACGTAAATGATTAATTGATTAAACTGGGCAATAGAGCTTTTTCAAGTAATTCAGCCAATATATATCATGTTCCATCTTTAATGGCATCCTATCTTGAGCTCCAGTTGGCCAATTAATACTAGGATTCATGAAAGGCGGATAGCTATCCACATTATTCGTGCCAGCCCAATCAAAATCTACTAACATCCCACGACACTCTTTATTTTCATCTTTGATAACCAAAATGTTAGATCCACGGAGGTCTGCAAAAACAATATCATTCAAATGTAGAAGTGAAATAGCCTCCTCAATATCTTTGAAAATTTTATCATACTCAGAACGACTCAAAAAACAATCACGTAATTTCACACCCTCGATATATTCCATAACCACATAATAAAATCCACATGTCGTTCCAACGTGTAATAGTCCCGGAGCTTTTCCAATATTAGAGCACAATTCGTGTGCGTTTTTGTTGTACCTGTGCGTATACTTAACAATAATTTGTCGACAACCTTTCTTCGTTTCAGCCCTCCAAAGAAGTTTATCATTAAATTTCTCTGTATAAAAGAATTCTCCAACATTTTCGACTTCGCGAAGGCAGGGGTAATACCGTTGGGAATCTTCGTTATTTACTGTAGTATATGGCAGTGAGTCATAATAATTCTTCAGACTATCACTTCCCAAGTGTAAAGCCTTAAAAAGTCGTGCAATTTTCTCAAAGTGGGTTAGGTCATTAACATGGATGAGCGGTTCAAAAGCTGTTAGAGGCTCAATAACTGGCTTCTCGACATAAACAGCCCCTAATACACTTATCCAAGGCCCAGCTAAAGCTATGATGAAGCATGGCATGTTGCACCCACTGAGAAATTTATGATTCTTACTTTGAGTATAATACTTCGCATATGAATCGGCCGCCCAAACAACTGGATCATATCCAGCGTCAATTTCGTTTTTTATTCCGATGAGGAGGTATAATAAATTACGTGTACAAAAATTTAAAACTCCATCATTTGAAGATTTATCTTCAAGTTGGTCTTCAGTTACTTCTTGACCAAATAATATGCGAAGTTGTTCATGGAACACTTTCTGACGACCATTCTCGTCCATGTAAAAATCTGCCATAAGTTCTATAGTTTCGAGGGTCCATCGATTGTGTTCTTTATTCATAGGTAGATTTTCTGTGTTATAGTCTCTCTTAAAATCAGAAAAAACAGAATTATATAATACCAATGGGGTGCTAACACAATCATAAGGGCGGCCGATAAGTAACGCACGTTCCTTAGCTTGATATTTACGTAAATTACTGAGGAGTATAGATGATGTGGATGGATATTGCTTCATCTTCTTCACGGATTTTTCCTGCTCTGAAAAGATTAGAAATGTAAGACAACAAACTTCAAAAAACAGTCATATGCTATATTGCTAACCTTCTTCATCCAAATGCTGTCGCTTAGAAGACTCTACGAAAAATAGCAACATTAAAGACCAAATAGTAGTATAAGTTTTGAATATTCAATATTACTGCGAATATGGAAAAGAATAATAAATTTACTTACTGAAAGGTGGTTGCCCTACCATAACGTAAATGCATTGTTCGATGAAAAGAAGAAGCAAAAAAAGGCACAAGGTTAAATAAGTGTTCGCATTATTGGAAAATATGGCAGTGAATACGAATCGTAAAAGCATACCATATACGGATTTTTTATCTTTATCCGCCTGTTCACGGCTCGAAGCGGCGATCGACATAGGTGATTCGACTAAGACATTAATATGCTTCTTGGGTGGATCATCGGTCCACTACTCTCCAATTTCATCCATTGCTAGCAACTCGTTACTGTCATTTAATGTGAGATTCTTCAACCGATCGTCAAGGTGATCGCTAGCAATTTCCACCTTCCATAGCTTGAGCCTTTTTGCGTCTACACCAGCAAAGTCATTTTGATTTTTTTCCTTAATAGCGTCCTTGAGATTGCTAATAGATTCGTCTCTATTTATTTTAACAGAAAAAGCGCTTGCAATCGTATCACCCTTGACCAGACAGAATAAAGTGATAGACATTTTTCGGCTTTTATACGAAATGCTATTACGAAATGCTATTGGCTCAAAGTGCAGTGTGTGAACTTTTAAATTTGGGATCGAGGGTATATATGAGAAATTTCAGTCGTCGCACAGAGTGCATTAAATTTGAATCAAACCTGAATTAATACAAATCATTTGCAGAACATTAATTTGAATTAAAATTTTATATTCAAATTGAATCACAAACTTGAAATTAATTTGAATCAAATTTCTTGAATTGATTCTCAAAAATCTCAAACCTGAATAAGTCTCAAATTCAAATTGAATTTTAAAACAGAATCAAATCTCAAATTCAAATCAAATCTTAAATTGAATTTCAAATCTGTCTCTAATTTTTAAAATGATTTGATTCAATCCATGCAGAACAATAAAAATATTAATTGCACCACAAAATTATATATATCATCAAATCTAAAAAAAATGATATTTTTTTTATGCAGATCATTTAATTCTGGCTAGTATTAAATACATCATGTGATTTAACAGGCAAAAATGCAAATTTTTATTACAGAATGTGAGATTTAAGCCTCATACAGGGGCAAGATACACATTTATTCTTAATTATATTCATAATTTTACTAATATTTTTATATATATAAAATAGATGAGGCTTAATTATTATACATTAACGTATTTTTATGGCTAGAGGATCTCGACTCGAGAAACTTACATCAGTTTGTATAGTGACGTAATATGTTAATAATGGATAGACTTTCATTTAAGTACGCGACGCCAAAAGGTGTATTACTGCTATTTAACTAGCAATTTTTTTTTAAAAAAAGCAGTAAAAATATAATTAATTATGGAGCATGAACTTCAAAAAAATGACCAAGAGAGAGGAGGAAAAGATTTGGAAACTGAGGAAAAAGTTGTTAATACCTTACCTGAACTAGCAGTTGTTTCTGAAATCGTCAAAGAAAATAAGGATGTAAAACGTGAAGTTGGAGTTGCATTAAATGACGAGAACACCGAAAATGTTATCACTATGATAGATAATAATAATATTAAAGAAAATGAGTCTGAAAAAGATGAAAAGTCTTCAAATTCTGATAGTAAAAAACTAAATATTGGAGGTTCTGTTGAGAAACAAGTTCTTGAACTTGATAATAATGATCAGATTAAGACAATAACTAATACTGTATTATCCGTAACTGGAAGTAAAGAAAAGATTACTAAAGATATTACCCTTGATCATGTTTCAATCTCTAAAACAACTGAAAAATCAAATTTAGATGATGAAACTAATGAAACCAATGAAACTGTTGAAACTGTACAGATTGATAATACTATTGTTGAAACTCCTTTTGAAAAAACAACATTCGAATCAACGAGTCGAACCGAAAATAATAATAACGAAACAACAGTAAAGTCTTTGGAAACTGATAAATTTACGGTTCAAAATCTTGAAACAAAAGAAATAACTTCTACTGATACAGCTATTACCAAAAAAGAAGTTAATAAAGTTTCACCAGATCAAACTTTGATTGAAACCATTACATTCAAAGAAAACAAAGATAAAATTTCTGAAGGTATGGATGTCCGTTCTATTGAAACAAAGAAATCTTCTGAAAATGATGTTAAAGAACAAAAGAATATAGAATCTACTACTAAACAAGAGACGATAACCGAAACTCCTGTTGATAAAACAACTATTACGCTTGTCATGAATGACAGTTCGACTATTAACAAAGCGGTAACCGTAGATCCTGACGATAAAGATCTCGTAATTGCTCATGAATATTCCGGAGATAAATCTAAAATTGATAGGGTCATTGTCACAGAGGTCAGAGAAGAAAAACCACAACTTGAGGACAACGACGATGAGGATCTAGAAACGTCAACTCCAGCTACTCCGGAAAGTGAAGAAGATCTTATAAACACGATTTCTAGAGTAGCACCTGAATTGTCACCATTTATACGTGATTTAAAACAGGTATCGGATAAATTGGATCCTATAAAACGTTCTTGGAACAATTTGAAATTACGTAAAGGTTTGGGGTATTCTATAACAACTGAAACTGATAATGACAATATTAAAAGTGATGAGGAAGAAAAATTATTACAAGAAGCAATTGACTCTATTAGGGAAGCAATGACCAAAGTAGTTGAATTCGAAAATCAAGTAGATCAAGAAGGTGAGATATATTATTCGGATGATGAAAGTGGAAGTCCACCAAAGAGAATCAAAATTGAAATAAGTTGGGACGATATTTATGGTGGTACTCTACTTGTCCTATTATTATTATTTTAATATCTGAACATTTTACTAATATATAATTTAACATTAATAGAAGGAAAAGTGACACTATCAAATTCTCATGTACAAACTTTAATTCAACCTACCTCTTCGTCACCATCATCAGTAGTTGCTGACGTTATGGAATCTATGATTACACCCGGATTTAATAATAATGTTGTATTGGCCATGAATATTTGTTTCTGGTTATTGTTTACGGCCTTGATTTTCATGACCATTTTGACAGATTACAATTACATGGTATTACTTAACCTGGGCATTTCGATTTTGTTATACATTTCCTTGTGTTGGTAAGGAAAGAAATAATAAATAATTCATGATATATGCAATGAAACCTTAATAATGTCAATTTACTTTCATTTTTTAGGTTTATTGTGGTTACTCGTGCATCACAATTAGAAGAAGCAGCTGAAATTGCAAAGAAGAATGATTAAATTGACATTTTTAATAACATTTCCACTAGCTTATTTACATTTATTATATAATCATTCAAGTATCCTAATAGATAATATTAAGAGCAATTTATTGAATTGGTTGCGCATTTAGAATACTTGTATGTTCATCAAATTGTATAATTGGTCATGTGAATTATGTGAAGGAAAATAGCTGTCCATTTCGTGATTTACAGTATTTTAACTATAACACTACATATTCCGGGATTAATAAAAAAAAAATTCACTGTAAAAAAATGTATATCATAATCAAAAAAGTTTATGCTACAATTTTCTTTTTTTGATTTTCTTTTTTTCGGTTTTTTTTCACCTTCCCCCCCCCCACAAAATAATAATGAACAAATATGGGCATGTAAGTTGAAATGAAATTCAAAGATTATCAATTTTTTTAGATAATCGATATCACTAAATTTTTACTTTAAAATTTCACAATCACATATTTATTATATTTATTATATCACATATTGTAACTTGAAATTTACGGAGAAATTCGGTATTTATACAATCAATTCAATCATTTTTAAAAAGAGAGAAAAAAAAGTTTTTTTTTACCCTTCTTTGGTATATCCCCCGAAAATTAAAAAAGGTGACCCAAACATATTTTATCAATTAAGTACAAAGAAAAAATAAAAATAAAAAAGGATCATCATTTCACCTTTTTTTTTTTAACAAAAAAAAAAAAATTAAAAATATTTAAGGTGGGGAGTGGGGTAATTTTTTTCCTGTCAAACTAGTTTGACAGGTAATCATGAGAAAGAAAAAAACCTTGTTTCTTTTTTAAAATTAGTTTAAAATTATTAATCTAGCTTAATATTCATTTTAATTGTACGAACTTTATTAAGTTAAAAAAAATATTATTATTTACTCCGTTTTAATAATAACCGTATTTATATAAGATTAATAGGTAAACTCATGGAAAAAGTATGATTCCTATCAGAAATGAAACTACATAAAATCTTTTCTTTTTTTGTGTCCATTATATGTAATGATTTACTTTTTTTTTTTTAAAAAAAAAAATAATCTTTATGGGTGTGTCGATTTCGGTTGTCGATTCGATAAACGTTTCAAAACTTGAAATGTCAAACACGTTTAAAAAAAAAAGGATGAAATTAAATATCACTAATAAAAAAAACTTTATAATTGTCCCTTTTTTTTCAGTTTTTTTTTTCTCCGTTTAGAAGCCCAATAGTTTAGCCGCAAATATGTTTTATGCTGAAAATGCTGAATTTCATTATTTTCAATAAAAAAAAAAGCGCAAGTTCCTGGTTTGATTTTTTTTATTATGCAAATTTTGTTGTTGTAATATAAAATTTTCTTTAAAGAAAATACTAAAATTTGTACAGTAAAAAAAAAAAAAAATTATATATATATATATATATATATACAACTATGCTGAAAAGAATTAATAAAGATTAAACAGGGGAAATTATAACTCGTTTAAACGAACATATATATTTAATAAAAAAAAATGCTATACAATTACTTTTTTGAAAAAATTTCTAAAGTTATTATTTATATAATAATAACCCTCCAAATATATAGTGTATGTTGTTGTTATTTACATTATCTCTTTACGAGATGGATATACAAAGAAATCTGATGTGTTCTCAGAAAAAAATAATAATAAAAAAAATGTTCCCCCATATTAGAAACTTTGTACGATACAGTATCGACAAGTCCATAACATATAAAGAAAATAAATAATTAAATTGATCAATCTGTACAATAATAAAATAACTCCTTTTCATGGCCCTTTCATGGCTTTCCAAGGTGTTTTTTGTATTTGACGTTCTTCATTTCCTTCATTTCATGACCCAACTCCATTGACAAAAGATCCCTACAAATGTTAAAATAAAATTTAGTTTTTCAATATATGATAACTCATAATCATAATTCTATTAAGACTAACCTGATGCGATCGATGTCTCTGGAATAGGCATCACCACTAATCCAGAGTTCTACGCGATCACCTCTGTCTCTACGAGCACAAACAGCACCACAAATGAGATCTTTGTCATCGATCGTTTCACCAGCAAGAAGTAAAACGATTGAATCCCATAATGAATTAAGCTGGTTTCTTGGAGGACATATAGTGAAGCGACCACCCTAAATAAAGAGAATGAATGTTACAAATCAGTAAATGTGAAAACACAACAAAAAAAAAAAATATTTATTCAACATATTCAACATGATGTTACCTTTTGGTTAGCCTCATCTTCCCACATGGGCATTATATTTCCTTTAAAGAAGCTAAGATTTGCATTTGTTTTCATGTCGCTTGGCTTGATCTTTGAAGAGAATTTACGAAGATTTGAACACAATTCTGGAACTGTGGTACACTCGAATAACGGATTCAATGTTGAAGAATACTTGTTCTTTGATATGATTCTTGTGTTTGTCTTTGTTACTGATGTGTCAGCAAAGTACATCGTCCTACAGATAATCATAATAATCAGTAAATTAATTAATAATCCCAATTAATTAAGTAACTTTGTAATTATTTACCATTTATTAGACAAAGGTAGGGAGTCTGGATAGTTATCCTTGCTAATTATTTCGAGTTGACGACGAATCCTGATCGTGTCTTTTGAATCGGTTAGAGTCTCGAGTTGTTCCGCAATTTTTCTCAACTCTGGAAGTACATACTCCTTATTATCTTGAGTATCCTGAGTATCCTGAGTTTCTTGATTTTCTTGATATTCTGAATCTTCATTCTCACTTTCACTATAAGAGTAGGTGTTTGTTTCAGGTACCTCCTCCTGTTGTTGAGAATCGTCAATAATCATTTCTTCTTGGAATTCCTGTTGACATTCTTCTTGGAATTCTTCTTGACATTCTTCTTGGAATTCCTTTTGACATACTTCTTGGTGCTCCTGAGATTCTTCTTGGCGCTCTTGACATTCTTTTTGGAACTCTTCTTGACATTCCTCCCGACATTCTTCTTGAAATTCCTCTTGAAATTCCTCTCGGCATTCTTCAATTGAAAGGAAATTAGATGACATCAACTTTGAATCCTCCTCTTCTTCTTCCAATACAGGAGTAAGCTGTTCGGATCCAAAATCAGAGAGTACAGAAGGTGAACGTCTTTCCGGAGCGTTACAAGATTTTGTCTCGTTCATTATTTCTTCTTCAGTGAACACGGTATTTTCCGATTCCGCGTATGTTGAAATATGTGAAAATGAGCTTGAAACTTCTGATACCGGGGTTGATACCGTTGAACCAGGCGAGTAATTGTCATCATTAAGTTTTAAGTTTGTTTCAATCCTCAAGTTTGGCAAATCGGAACGAGGATGAGGATTAGGAGTCGTTAATTTTGGAGACAATTGTACAATGGGTGATTCTTTATCAAACTCAATACCGGCTGATGTGGCGTGAAAATAATTATCAAGATAATAATAATCATCAATCATTTCCTTCTTTTGAAGTTTTTTAACATTATTGTTCATAGATAAACTCCAATGAGGTAACTTTACAATAGGGTTAACACTTAATTCATTTAATTGAATTTCAATAGAATGAGAAGATTCATATTCTTCTTCCACATCATCATCTAATACATATTTTTCTTCTTCTTGTTGATCTTCTACTATTACTATTACATCATCATCTTGTTGTTCATTTAAAGTTTCAACATTTTCTTCTTGTTGTTCTTGTTTTACTAGTAAATTTGAAGGAGGAGAAGTTTCTTTTGGAGATAACCACCAAGGTTCTTCACAAAGGGTAACAGAATTAGAATTATTTTGCATTCCTGGTAATTTGACCCTAACTAATTGATGATCTATATGAATCTTTAAAAGTGGAAACGCGTGTATAACATCATGATCATCTTTCTCAGCTATACATTTAGGAATATGTATAGGGTGTAACATTCCAGGTAGTTTTATTACATAACATTGAATAACTTTAGAAACTTCAGGATCATCAGAATTTGTTGAAAAAGATTTACAACACGAAAAACCCGAAGATTCAAAAGACAATCGACGAATATGTGATTGTTCTTGAACATCATGATGATGATGTGATAAAGTACCAATTTGTCTTGACATATGAGGTAGACCAGCAGAAACCTCATTTTTTAACGCGTAAGACAAGATTTGGGAAGGGGTAGAAATATCTTGAAGAGGTTTTAAATGTTTATTAAATTGTTTAGAATCTTTTGAGATAGCTTTTAATGAAGATTTTAAGTTCTTTTTCTTCTTTTGTGAAGGTAAATTACATGAATTGATAAGGTGCTTTGAAGTTATTTGAGAATTACGTGAAGGAAGAAAGGAATTAGGTTTCAAATTATTGAATTGAACATCATTCTTGCACGTTGAAATATTTTTTGTTGATTTTTGTTGATAATAAATTTTCTTTGATACGATATTAGAATCATTTGATATCGAATGTTGAATAGTAGAGGTTAACGTGGTTCCAACATTTAAAGCTATGAAAAAAGAAAATAAAACATTTAGTTATAATATAATTGATAAGAGTTGAAAGTTGAATCAAAAAAAAAAATCGAAGTGACACGACCAAAAAAAAATTTATTTGACATTTTAGAATTTGTTTTTGTACATGTTCATTCAACTTTACTAAATTCTACATACGAAATCACGAAAATATATAACACATATAACGCGGTATTTTTCCAAATTTACCTGGTGTATTAACATTGTATTTTTGGTGTTTATGGTGAGGAAACCTTACGTTAGCCATGTTAGCCATTGTTTAGCCGTTGCTAAGCTAATAGTGAGGCAAAAAATGAGGTTTGTTAAAGAAAAACTCGGTCAAAGAGTTTAAAAAAGAGTATATTTTTATATTATCCAATATTAAAAAGATGAACTTTATTTCGAATGAAATATGAATGTTTTTGTTTTAATTTCTTGGTTAAAAAGAATTTTGGAATTTTGGTTTTTTTTTTTTTAAAAAAAAAATATATATATATATATATTTATATATAATTTTTTTTTTTTTAGTGTCAAAGTTGAAAAAAGAAAACTAGAGACGAAATTTTTTTTTTTTTTTTGATGATTGAAATAAAAAATAAAAAAAAATGTATGTTGTTTATATATATCACCAAATTTTTAAATTACCGGTAAATTTTTTATCAGTGATAAAGTAAAGTTAAAAGTCAAAGGTCTCATTTTTTTATTATACATAAATGAAATATAAGTACATAATATATTAAAATTGTTTGTTCAAGTGATAATTGTGATATTAAACATACATATAAATACATATTATAATACTTTCAGTTTTATATAAATATATAAATATATATGTATATGTATGTATATTGTACATCATATACATATATACATATATATTTTATGTATGTACTGTATATATTTTTTACAATAGACAGACGGCGTTTTTTTACCCAAAATGTAAATGTTTCAAGAAAACTTGAATTTTTTTTTTTTTTTGTTTTTTTATTATAAATCCTTGGGAATTATTTCATCATTTAACATTTTTAAGATTTAACGTTCCGAGTTCTTATTGAACAATTATTATTATTATTAATTATGCAATGATCCAGGAATAGGTTCAAAAGAACAACTATTCACGCTTTTTCTGATTTCTTTTTATTGTTCAGATGACGAAAAATTATTATGTCATAATGACAATCACCATTTTATTAAAATGAACCATTTTAGACCTTCTAAAAAAAAAACTCCCCCTTTTTTTTTCTTACCTTTTTACTAATACGTTAATGGAGTAGATAATTTTATTAGATAATTGTTTGTTTTAACAGTAAAGTAAAAAAAGAGGTCAATTGTAGGCGGAGGAGAGAATTAAAAATGATAAAGATCATTGGGCGGGAGAACAAAAATATTAATAATAAAAGAAGTTGACATTCCCTTAATGACTGCACTCGCTGCATTTTTGCAGCATTTCGGTATTACTACCTTATGCATAATTCCTAAATTGGGACAAACACGCGCCCCAGATGCAACCATTTAATCTGCATAATTGAACAAAAAAAAAATTAAATTTGGTGATTTTAAATGTGAACCAATCAAGATTGATAAACTTATCACTAATCCATTCATTAAAAGTAACATGTCGCATTTCTAAAATAAGTTTATCAAAAAGTAAAAAAAAAGTAAACATGTTAAAAAGTTTAAGTTTGGATATTACTTCAACAACTACAAGGGTATTTTAATATCATCGTACCTTTTTATTAAATAATGTAAGGTAAAATTTTTAATTATCTTGAAACATTCCCATTGTAACACATTAAAAAAATCATTTTTTTTGGAGTTAAATGATAAACAATGACACAACAAATTAGTTATCAACAGGTTAAATAATCTTAATAATCGCGTGTTTATCTCCGAAATTTCTTCGAGAAGAATATTTTTGGTAAAAAAAAAAAATAACCCCACATTTTTCTTTATAATTATTATAATTATTAACTTACTATTATTATGTATTATTATTATTATTATTATTATTAAATTGCATATTAATCAAGACCAAAGATGAAAAAATCAAGTTTTTTTAATAATTTTCCCGCCAAAATCCCGAGTTTTTTCAATAAAATCCCAAATAACATTTACCACTTTTAAAAAAAAAAAAATCCCTCCCCTCAATTAGTAAAACTTTAATTTAAATTGTTCCCTTCTTGATTTATTATCGTGATACCTTATTTCGTAATACATATAACTTAAATTTCGAATTGGGTACAATTGTTTTTGTGAAATAAACAAATATTTATAAATTAGATCATACAGTTTTACTATAGTTGGTTGAATTGGAAGGAACCTCCCCTAAAAATAAATTTAAAATAATTTTTATTCCAAAATTAATCCGAAATTCACCTTTTAATTATTGGCATTTTTTTATGTGGTGCTAAGTTGCTTATGATGGATGTCAATTGTCAAACAAACAATTGTCTATATTTGGAATTTTTAGAATTTGGAGTTTTTTTTTTTTAGTGATGATGTTGATGAATGTTGATGATGTGAGTTTAATGAGTAATGAGTAATTAGTTTTATGTTTTAGTGCGGAGTTTTGAGTTTAGTGAGTTTTATGAGTTTAATGAGTTTTATGAGTTTATGAGTTATGAGTTTTGAGTTTTTATGAGTTTGTGAGTTGGTGAGTTATTTCCCCCGGTAGGTTATGTTATTTCCTTGGTATTATTTCCTTGGTGAGCTATTTAAGTGAGTTATTTCGTTCCTAGTATTTCCCGTTAGTTATTTCGTTATTTTTACCGTCATGTCCCGTTATTTACCTTTATTTTCCGGCATGTCCCCCTATCACTCACTGTCCCCATGATTTTAAGGGGGAGGTGATATTCCCTTTTTTGATAATTTTCTTGTGATATAAATTTCAATCAACTTACTTATATCGTATTAGATCTACATAATTTATATTTAATTTTACTTTTTAACTTTTTTTTTTTTTTTCTCCTCCCTTCCTTCCCTATCCGACTAAAATCGACTAAATTTTGAAAAAAAAACGCGTTCTTGAGAGAGAGAGAGAGAGAGAGAGAGAGTGGGAAAAAAAAAAAATACTAATAAAGTAAGTTTATTTTGAACATTAAAATACGTTAATTAAAATAAAATACATTAATTAAAATAAAATTATTTAAATTATAAATAAATGAATAAATATAAATAAATAAAAAAAATTAGATAAATAGATAAATAAATAAATAGATAACACATAAAATTAATTGGTAAATTATGAATTGTTGCCATGCAAAAAAATAATTACCAGGTCATCAATCAAGTTTAATTAAACTAATTAACGTAATCTACGTAATCTAAATGTAGTATAACTAGTATATTTTTTTACGTATATTTTTTTTTTACCCACTCACCCACTTTACCCATTTACGTTATTTTTACTTACGTATATTTTTACGTAATTCAAACAAATAGTAACCAAAACTTTTGTAAAATTTGATCCCCTGAGAAAAAAAAACTAATTTGGATTTTTTTAATACAAAGTTTATCCGGTAATGTCCGGTAAAATTGCGAATAAAGGCAAAATTATAATCAAATATAGACTATGTAAAACGCGAGATTGAAAGCTTTTTTTTTTGCCGTGAGAAAAAAACATTTAACCTAATATAGAAATGCAAGTATATATATTTTAAGAGTTATTTTAAGATCATCAATATCATCAATATCATCAATATCATCAATATCATCAATATCATTATTATCATTATTATCATTATTATCATCCATTATTATAAGTTATAACAGTATTCCCCCTCCCAGTTCCCGTTTCTAAAAAAGATCCAAAGATCTTTTAATATTCATGGAATGGATTAATGACAGTGATATTCCACCTCCTCACTTGTGTTCTATTACCGTTTTTTTTACAAAAATAGGAATCTCATACAAATTCTCTGGAGTTGGAGCGACCTTTATTGAATTTCGAGTGTGACCTTTTGAGTGTATCATAACACAAATAACAATATGACACCAAAAAAGTTACATGACCCATGACTTTCCAAAAACATTTCAATCTTCTAACCTGTTGTAGATAACAAAAATTTTATTTTTATCACTTGTATTTTTTTTTAAAAAAAAACACTTCCGAACCATTCCAAACTTCCAAAACATTCTCCGTTAATTTTTA